TGCTTTTAAATTGCTTTTAATGAAGGATAGGTCTATACACCTATAGCAGTTCCAGTATCAGGTTGATAACGCAATGCATTCATGTGTTATTGCAAGTTTCTTAATTTAAGCATTTATATGCTGATGTGAGAATTATATGTCATGCTATTTCACTATGAAGCTGACACATTAAATATAACACACTAGCAAACAAGTCTTTTCTGTTGCCTGTGGTTTTCTCCAGAGCACAAACAGGGACATGATGACGTACTTTGTGTAAGAGGAGTGCCTGCTTGAGCTTTTTTACATTTTCCCCACCTGTCTGTGAGGTACACACGTTCATAAAAGGAATGTTCCTGTCTGTGACCCAGAAGTGTCTCCACCAGAGTTGCTTGTACACCAGAAAATGATAAAGTCAACCACTTCTGGGTAGTGAATCTGCACCTATCACCTGCTGTCTACTTCACAGGCCCCACTTTCGTCCCGACTAACAAGGTTTGTTAAAATAATAGTTTTAATAATATTTTTTCTCTCTCTGGTAAAATCATACTCATTTCTAGGGCCAGTGCTTTCCACATTGCTACAGTGAAATGTGATACATGCTATGCACATTGTTATAGAGGAACTCTCTGATTTTTCAATACAGGTGTTCAGTGCAGTGCACGTGCAAACACATCAAAATCACTTGCATAAATAATGGATTGTGTCAGTGCAGTTATGTTGCTATGGACCAGGTTGTGTCCAAGTGTATGTCATACACACACATTACATTAGCAAACAACAGGGAAACTCTTTGGACATTTTGAGGATTTAATTTGAGAGCTTTTTTCTGTATTTTATGTTTATGATCCACAGAGCAGTGAAACTGTGTCCGTATGAAAAGGAAGGGCTGATCTTGAGTCAGGAATATCTTCAAAGATCTGGTGTCAAGGTAGCTTCCCTGGTGACAGACCAACACACCAGGATTCCAAAGTTTATCCAGGAACAAAAATCAGACATTGACTGCTTTTCTGATGTGTGACATTTATGTGAAGATGATTTATGTAGTTTATCTAATGTTTTCAAACTGTTCTAAGCACTCACCAAGAATTTTAATGCCACATCCAAGAAAAAAGACTATAAGTAGGTCAAATTGTGGCAAAAGAGCATACAAAAATCACCTCTACAGGCCAGTCTGGTTCTTCCAGTGGAGGAGAAGGACACATTGGAAAAAGTGGACATCTCTTCTCAACCACATCCACAGTGTTCATGTCCATGATAATTTAATTTAATTAGAATCCTGTAATGTAGTCTGAGCTATTATGCACTCATCATCTTTTATGTATTTGTTACTGTCTACTCCCTCTAGCAACAAAGGCCACCCCACCTACCAGCTGGAGAAGGTGCTCATGGATGAACGCTCTCTACCAAATGTGTGCCTTGGAGGGGTAACACAGTCTCATTCTGCACCAAAAAACCCACTTTGGGATGCTTGGCAGGTAAATGATATACTAATCATGTTGTCGATACAGTGTAATAACAGGGCACCGGAGAGCCATCATTTCAAAACCTTTTATTTGGGAATATTCCTGTTTTACATATGATTTATCTGCTGCCTCTTTATTTTCTGGGGCCAGTATCTATTAACAGTAACTATTTTGGAGTAATCTCATACAAATCCGTGTCATTTTGGCTGATTTTGGCACCACCTGAGGCAAGGTGTAGGACTACATTTGCTAGCATGACAAAATTATAAACAGGCAGTAAACACAAAATGTATCTTTGTTTATGCAGTTACTTTGGTAACAGTAGAGACAATATAAATTACTCAAACTGTATGCTATGTCATGTGCTGTCTCCTGTGTTTCAGAACAGCGGTTCCCAACCTAGGGGTTGGGATCATCACAAGGGATCACCAAAGCTTAGCGAGGGTTGCGAGGCCTTCTTGATTTTAAGGTGTGTACGAAAACTTTAAATATATACACAGTAGGCCTATATTTTAGCAGTTTGTTCATGTCTGTGAAGAAAACTAAATGAAAAAATTGTTCACATTCATATTTTGATTACTTAACTTTAGTGCTGTTCCCAGGAGGTGTGTAATGGTCGTCATGACGACAGCCTAATCTGTCTATTCCTTGTTCTTGTCTTGTTTTCTTTTACCATGGCAGTCCAGATTTGACACCGCTTTTCCACACATGCAGTTGTCATTGTCTTCCTCCAGCATATCGCCTGCCTCTTTGTTCCTGTGACTTACCTCCTGCCTCAGCCTATCTCTGCACTGGTGCTCCTTTGTCCTTCATTGTGGCCGCTGTGACACACATACAAACATGTCATTACTCAAAAACTGATTGACAAATGTCCAATACTTCTATGAAATGAATTAACATTGTATTGAATGGATGAATAATTGTGTAAATAACAGATATTCAGAACAGTCCCGTACTAATTTAAATGGGAGGTTTAAAACCTGTGAACTCCCCATCTTCATCAGGGTACTCCTGATGCATACAGAGCACAACACAGGTATGACAACCCGGTTGTGCTTTCCCAGGTATCCCCAGCACCAGGAAACAACACATATGTAGGCCAGGTAGGGAGCACGCCCGTAATGACAAAATATTTAAAAACAATCATATTTATCTCGGTTTGTTTTTGGTAGGTGGTCTCCTGTCTCTGTAATTGGAATACTATGTGACATTGTGGAGCTGTCATTCTTAAATAAATATCAATATGACAGGTAGAAAAAAACATTCAAACACTCTGTTGACTAACAGCGTATAAGCACCCAGATGCCTAAGTTATTGGTCTGAATTTAGAGGCTATTGTATGTGTTGAATTATATTTCTTGGTGGATGTTTTGCACCACTGTATGTATGTACGCACCAGTTTGTGCTTTAGCGAACGTTGTTCCAATGATTGGTTTGGTTGGTCTCCTTTGCTTGTATATAGAAGTAACACGTGAATGTGAGCTGTTTATTATTAGGACAGAGTTTGTTTATTATTGGTAAATTGTAACATCAATATACTATGTTTGCCTATATATTAAAAGCAAACTATGTTGGTTTGGGCATGCATCGATCCTTATGATACTGTAATGTTGTGATCCTCCTCCTGTAGTTTATTTTTACACTGATAATCAACATCATATGCATTGCATAAATGGTGAAACCTGGTTCTTTAGTCCTAAACCTTGACAGTTTTTTTAAAAACAGGCTGTGTTTGATTAACACAAATGCAATTTCTACATATTCCAAATTAATCAATTTTAGTCCATTTACCTTCATCTCCAGTGGCTCCTGGTCTGCCTGGTATGTGTTCAGTGCATTCTGCAGAAAGCAGGCATTCAAGCAGACAGGCTCAAGGCCAGGATGAAGAGTCAAGCACCGTGGCTTTCAAGAAGCTCTCCACATTATATATTCTGAACCTGTTGGAGTATGTGTTATAAAGTGTTTTGGTGCCAGAGATTGAGTACTCTACTGACTGTGTATTCACACTTTTGATCACTGTGGAAGATACATTTGTTTAGCATTAAGCTCCTTGCCCAGACATTCTCGTGCTCTGTGGGTATCATTCTCCACAGATGCACCTGTACAATTATGCTACAGTAAAGTTATCTGAACGGTTAAGGGAATATTCTGTTGCCCAACTTGATTGTTGCAATTCAGTGTTGCAAAAGTGTAAGTCTTCAGTAGTCTCTGACCGACACAACATTCCTTGTTTTGAAGTAAAATGTATCTAAGTGGAGTGACAACTGTGGGAATGACAGCAAGTTGAAGAGAACATTTTAAGCTGAGTGTACAATTATGACTCTCTTAAGTCTCCCACTCTGGCTTTGAAAATTCCGTCCCTTAAATAGAAAAAAATCATACTTATTTCTTGAATGAATTTTGAATTGTGATTGTGTAAAAGGTATGAAAGACATGAAAGTCGAGTGAACGTTTTAAAGTTTGAGTGGGAAGATGTTGAAGATGAGTGGGTATGAAGGGTTTTCTAATTGACTGCCATTGTAACTTCAAAAGCTTCAAAGTAAGTCAAATATTTTGGGTTTAAATAATTTAAGTTTTAATGGGATTTGAAAGTTGAATAATTCAATAGACAGCTGAATGTATGAATGGAGTTTCTAGCTGGAATAGAGTGGATAAGAGTTGAAAATGTATGAAAAACTGTTGAAATATGTGAATTTTGACACGTTCTGTCCATTTATTTGAATGGAACTTATTTCCGAAAGTATGAAAATTGTAATGATAACAGAAAAGTCCCAATTAAGCAGGAAGTTTTAATGTTTGAATGAGGTTTATAGTTGAAAAATGTGGAAAGGGTCAAATGGATACATGACTTTGTACATTTGCCTATTTTTCTAAGTTGTAGTGTCTAAGTAAAGACTGTAAGAGGTGTAAGAGAGTAAGTTAGAGAAGCTTATAAAATAGTTATTATTCAGCAAAAAGTGATTTATTATTTTAATTCACTATATTATGTTTTTTGGGGTAGTCCTGCACACATAAACAGAGTATCTGGGAGGTTTCTGTCAGCAGCCCACACATCATTGTCATATAAACATATAATAAAAACGAATTAAATGAGTACAGTAACCGATCATCAAACAATACAAGTGTGGTGTTTAGTTATTCATATATTTAAATGTTATTCATGCTGGAGTTTATGTTCCCATTTAACGGCTGTCCTGTTGTTGTTTTTACTTTCCATACATCTACAGTGTTTACAATCTGGTAGTCACAAACGCAGCATTTTCCTTCTATCTCAGCAGTTGGAAACTTAACATTTCCGAGGTGTGTATGAACGCAGCATGACGCCGCCTGTGGTGGCTCATTACATTATCTGGCAACCGGAGTGGCAGCGGACAGAAGAGAGGGGATCCCCGGGATTTTTACACCGAAGCCAGCTAACTACTGACATCAAACATCTGAAAATCGCGGGGGAACTCGGTCAGGCTCCTCCTAGACTTCGTAAGTCCGCGTATTTCATTACCATAATCAACTAATTCAGTATTTTAATATTACATTGAATTATGACGACGAGGGGAAGTTTCTCTCTCGCTGTTAGCTCGGCTAACCTAAGTTAAGCTAGCTAGCATAGCTTGATCTCAGCTAACGTGCAAGGTAGGACTTTGTGTGTCGCTCAGCTACACGCACACACCTACCGAGTACGGACTGCCAGGGACGAACCGCCTCAAAGTACAGGGATATTAAAACTTCCCCGGCAAACTTGTGTTGGGATGCACCAATAGTAAGATATAATGTAAGTTTATCTTTCTCGTTTGACCATATTGAAGCTAGAAAGCGCCGAGACAACACTGTCATTTTCTGTGTGCAGTTATCGCTTGATTATTTGTGAACACATTTAGCGACTGTCTGTCTGTCTGACTGACTGACTGTCTGTCTGTCTGTCTGTCTGTCTGGGCAGCCGAGTGTCCAAGGAGTTAGCGTTAGCAGGCTAACTTAGCTCGCCAGCTAGCCTGTTAACACTAGCAGCTCAGTGAGATGGGGTCGCTTTCATTGTCCGTCGTGTATCGCTATTTGGCCGCGTACAGTAATCCGGATAAATATCACAACATCTATTACCACATGTAAAGGTGTGTTCAGCTCATTTTCCTATAATAACCGCTGGTGGCCACAAATGGCTGTTAGCTCGCCGTAGTTAGCCACTGGTTTCGCAGCCGGACAGATGGACAGGTTGTTGTTGGCAAGCCAAGTTAACGTTAGCATGAGGTAGCTTGTTGTTGTTGATGTGTTAGTTGGATATAGGTAACGACGGGTCTTCTTTTGGGCAAAGTTGGCTCACTAAAGTTTATAAACATCATAACCAGCATTGGCACCGGTTACTGCTAATCCGACTGTTCTTCTCAGCCGCTGATGGGTTTGATTTTGGGGTTTATGAGCCATTGATCTCAGAACTTTGTCAGATTAGCTCAACCGTGAAAAGCCTTTTGATGGAGGCGTAATGGTGGACGGTGGTGCCTCCGTCTGGGTGTGTGTCTCTCTGTCCACGACGGGTTGGTAGCCATCACCTACGCCAGACTGTAGACAACACAACGTCTACTTTGTATTTGCACCGGAATATCAATGTTTCTGTAACTGAGCTCGAGTTCACCACATAATGCGTGTAATGAGATGTCTTATTGTTAAGTCTAAGGGGCATCCTCTGTAACTACTACACCGTTCATTCCCCCTTGAAGCCACGTATTTGAAGGCATCCCTGTGCTATTACTCATTTGATGTTAATAGTGAGATGTATTATTTATGAGACGTGTGTCTGCATTAGCAAGGCTTGTAGTGACTGTTAGGGCTCAGCATTAGATGGTTTCTTTAGGCAGTCACTGCATCTGTGGCTCACGCTGTCTGAGTGGACACTTCAGGTCAGTTTTGTATTCACCTGTCTTTGAGGTGTGTTTTAGCTTAACAGCAGCGTGTATGTCCCCACCTCTGTGGAACAAATGCTCTCCTTTTTAGAGCAAGCAGACAGTTTGCACCCTTGGCTAGTGATGGGGGACACATGTCGCTTTGCATTTTATGATGGACCTTGGATTTGCCCGAGGAGGGGTGCCTCTTATGAACAGCCCTCCTGAGAGTGATGTAACCAGACAGGCATGACTTGGGATCCACTCTTATTCTGCTGCATCAGGGACGAAACTCTTTAAAGATACATCTGTATTTTTCACTACCCACTAGGTTGAGGTTTTTTTTTTTTTTTTGCTTTTCTGTGTCCTAGGCTCGAAGGTGACTTGCTCATGGTTGCCGTTGTTAATTGTTTATTATGTTAGTCTTGGTATTTGCAGGACCTTCCTAGAGGAATTTAATCTCACTTCAAGTGTTTTTTCAGTTCTGCTGAGTTACTTTGTGCAGTTAGCATGAATGTGAAGGATCTATTACACATAAATACAGTTTATGGATGTGAAAGATAAGAAAATTGACTTCGCTCCTGTTTCCATCTACATCTGGCTGTGGTGTTATCATAACAGCATCAGTGTTGCTCACTGTAGGGTGACGTTAACACAGCAGTCAGAGTCTGGTCGAGTGTGGGCCATGTCAAAATTCACCAGCTAGACGTTGTCCATGTGGGTGACAGATGGGGGACCCTCATTGTGTTTTGTTAAGCTAGGCTTGAGGAAAAGGTTTACTGTAGGGTTCTTAGGCCCATTCAGACGGCGGTAATCACTGGTTTATGAAGCAAAAGTGAAAGTGAAAATTGGCCTCCTGTTCTGTTGGTAGTTCACTTTGTAGCTTTGAAGCACTGTGCACAAAGTACTTTTTGCTGTATGCCAATGTTTAATTACTAGCATTTCGTTAATGTTTTAAAGCAGTTGTATGATTTGACTGACTTTGGTTCAGATCATGTAGTACTGAAGTCCATTTTATCTATATATCCCAATATGAGAAATTTGCCTCAAGTGGGGAAAAAAATGAAGATATGGAGCTGAGATGGATGGACAGACATGCATACAGATGTCATGCATACAGAATAGACCAACATAGTAAAATGACAGTATGGACAATGAGGATGACTAATTAATGATAGTGATCATATTTGATAAATATGGGTCTGGGAGAATGTTAACCAACTTGTAACTACTATACACACTGCTCACACAGATGGTAAAAATGAAACAAACACACAGAAAACACGAGCTGTAAGGTTCGATTTAAAGACCTCACCAGAGTCAGACTGTTGTCAGCAGGGAGGTTCTTCCAGAAGAAGGGGGGCACGATAGGAGAAGGCCCTGCAGCGAGCTCACTTCTTTATAACTCTGGGGACGGACAGGAGCACTGTATTTGGAGAACAGGACATGGAATACAAGGCCTTTGCTGCTACAGCACGAGAGAAAGAAGAAAACGTTGTTGCTATGCTATGCGTCTGTCACTCTACCAACACGTCCTATTACAGTACAGATTCCCCTAAAGTGTCACTGTGCACCGGCAGTGATAGCGGTTAGCTTGTAAACTTTCTCCAGGGGACTGTGTGACCCTGGTGTCTGTTAGATGGATTCAGTGGGACACTTGCACAGACTTCCTCTAAAACACCTGGATGTTTTGTGAGCAGTACAGTCAGAATCACAAGGAATGTTGTTGTGCTCTGTTTGTTGCATCAGATGCCAGACGACAGGAGTAGTCGTATTGGCCACAGGGTCCCACCCAAAGGCCTTGGGCAATTCTTGGAGCTGGAGGAGAGGAAAGGAAACGACTGTTTCTTGTTTACCCTGTTGGACTTCATATTGACTCAAGCGTGTGTGTTTACATTGTGTTTAGAGTGTGATCAGCGGTTAGAGGTACATACACTGAGTCAAGCGTTGGGGATTGTATTTAATGAAGCTAACCCCCTCAAGTTTTGGTTGTAATGCCCGATGCGGTACCACCCCCTGGTTCGGACTGGGTATGCCTCATTGTAGAAGAGTTCTGGTATCCTTTGACCAGGTGGACCATATGGCTTACAGTGATTGGCCCTTAAATTGTAAAAAGTGGTATTTGTTGTTGGGAGATTGCCCCGCATGCCAGTAGAGGCACGAGGAGGAGGAAGAGAAATTCCTGAATAAGTTCCTCCTCGCAACTAACTACACAACTAAGATGAGAGATGGTTTAAACTGATTTCATTTCTGTGTTTTAAAAAAAAAAAAAATAACTTAAAGTTGAACAAGACAAAAACAAAACATTACAACACAAATAACACCAGGCCAACTGCCACAGGTGTTTTGGCAGGTATTGTGCGCTCTTAGCCCCTGGAAAAGCCGGTTAAAAATATATTCCCATTCCCATCCATCCATCCAGTGCTGGATGCTGGCTAAACTATGTCACCTACTTGCCCCTGGCCACTTCTACAACTATACATGTTTACATTTTTGGATTTTGGGGCACTATTTTCAGAGCTATAACC